TTTTTGGTGCGGCTTCAAATAATATGGGAATATTATACATTTGCATTAAACTCTTAGGAAAGTAACAAAGGCAATAAGAAGAAAGGAAAATTTGAAAAGATAAAACCAATCCTCGTAAATAAAGACGAGCCTCCAGTCATTGTGACTGAATTAAATTCCTCGCAACCTCCCTTGGCGGAGGCTAATCATTTTGATCTTATTCATCCAAAAGATGACCTTGAACTCGTACGGAGTCAGAGTGTGAGTGATTGCCATTTGCAGAGTATCTTGCACTTCTTGCATATTTCTCGCACCTCGGTTTTTTTACTTTATTTTGTAATTTAATTGATAAAAGTATCATATATAGAATGAAGTAATTCTTTTTCAAGCATTGATTAAACATTTAAAAATTGTTACCATGTCAATTAGTATGCTGTTTATTTCTTTTATTGCTTCTTTTATTTTTATTTGGAAAAAAATTATATGTACATGAAAATATGTATATATCTATTATGAAAAAAAAAAAAATATATATATATATATATATATATATCTATATGTACATATATCATATATTAACATTTATCATATTCATGATTAACGGAAATACAAACTATTAATATTGATTTACGAATTATTAACAATTTTATAATTAAAAATTAATATTTAACAATTTAATATTTATTTTATTAATAACAATTTGATTTTTATATTATTAAAGATAATAATTAACAACATGGATATTAATATGGTTTTATATAACATGGTTTTATAAATTTTATTTTTTTCTGGAGTTTTTTATTTAATTATTTTTATTTAATTATTGTGAATCATATCATTCTAGTATAATATAATAATAACAATATCGATAATGTCTAACAGTACATCTAAATGTATATGTCTACTAAATGTATAACAGAAGGAGAATCTTCAACAGATTTCCCAAACTGAGACAGTGGAGAGGATCAATAAATCACCAAAGGATACTCCGACTAAGTCGAAAAAAAATAACAAAGATACTATGAAAAAGAGAGATGAAAACGTTAAAGAGAAACAAGATGAGAAACAGGATACTAATAATTATTCTAATGCTTCATCAGTCAATAAAGAAACTATGAAAGAAGTAAAGGAGCAGCAGAAAGAAACACCAGTTAAGGAAGTAAGGGAAGTTGTTAAGGAAGTTGTAGTTCAGCAGTTACCGAGCAAAGAACCGAAAAAAACAAAAAAGAAGAATGATATTTTATCTCAGATTGGTAAGTATTTATTTGTAAATAGATATAATTTATTCATCTTTTATCCTAATAAATGATAATAGCATGAAATAAACATTCAAAGATGATATGAAATCTGTATGCATTTCTTAACAGAGAGCGAATCAATATCAAACTTATTATGACATGCTATAGTCTATAGAATTTAATTGATTGATAATACGACCTTATTTCTCTCTGTACTGTCACTTTTTGTTTATAATGCTTATGTTAAGAATATTTAATAACATTTACAACACATTTATATACTTATTTATTATTTTTCTAATATATTAGCATATTTAAATAAATTATAATAAAACAATACAGTTATATAATAGTCAAGGCTTTGATTAAAGCAAAGTCAAGCAAATTCCTTTGAAGTGCTTTGGAATGTGGTTGAGATAGGATCACTTCCCCCTCTACACATATACATAGAAAGGTCAATGTCCATGCATTTAGTACCTGCAATATAATCCTGCAATATATGAGCAGTAATATAAAATTCTTAATTCTTTTTTTATACCATTGAATTTATAAACAATGTTTTAATTCAGACAAAAATATAAACAGAAATAGTATTAAATGTCTATGTGTGTTTATTTATTTATTTATTAATCAAATCGATATTTTAATAACTTTAAAATTTTTATCAGTTCCCATACATAATAATACATATAAAATTTTTATCGCAGAATATATATGAAATTTATCATAAAACTTTTTTATTTTTTAGATGGGGATGCTGTTAATGTTGAACTCTTAATGCTATGTATTCAAAAGGCAGAACTTAGTCGATCTGAAATACAAATCTTAACGAATCAACTCTTAAATAAGCAGCAGGACAATCCGTTAGAGCATTCTGAATGGACAGAAGGTCGCGCTGACCCTGTTATTAAGTTGAAGAAACAATTGGCGGAGAAGGAAAAAGCATTAGCTGACGAGCACGAAGCAAGCGTGGCCTTTCAAAACAAGTTGAAAGAATTGCGAGCTGAATTTAATACGGAGAAATCTAGACTTTCAGCAAACATTAGACAACTTGAAGAATCATTAAACGTCAAAATCACCGAAACTCAGACATTGCACACACGAATGCAACATATTTTAGAAAGTCATGTTGCAGAAAAGCAAGGTTTTGCTAGACAGATTGAACAACTGCAGACCAAAGTGAATGAAGATGCCACTATTATTCACAAATTACAAGAAGATCAAGGACAAACTCAGGGCCATTTGCAGCAAGAACTGATGGCGCAACGGAAACAAATGGAGGTGCAATTTGCTCAAATGCGCGAAAATGAAAATGCGTTGAAGTCACAGCTGACTCAGAAGCATGTGGAGATGCAGGATTTGCAAAATGAACTACAAGCTACTTGCGAAAGTAGTACCGCAGAGATAGAGGTTTTACGCCAGCAATTAGGAATAATGCAAGGTCAACTGATGCATTCGGAAGGACAATTGCAGCATTTCAAAGAAACTAATGATCGACTACAAGACGTCGCTAGGCAACTTGAGGTAAGAACCATGATCCCTTATTGAGGCTCTTAATAAAGCTTAATCATTTTTTTTTTTATTAGCATTGAATCTTTTCTTGGAAATTTCTAGGAATCTCATCGTGCGCATACTGATTTAGATCATAGATTAAAAAGTGCACATCGACATGAACAGGAATTGCAGAAACAAGTAAACTCACTGCAGGCTGAATTAAATCATGCTAAAAATGAAGCCAATGAAACGCCTACCTTAAAAATGGAACTCGGCAAGGCTCAAAGTGAATTAATAAAATTAAAATCAGAGTTATCAGCCACAATGAACGAAGCCAAATCAGAAGCGGCCGAAATTATAGCTTTGAAAAATCTATTGAGTAATAAGGAGGAAGAACTCAAGAGATTGCAAGACAAATTTAATATCGTACAGAATGATTTGCAACAATCTAGTGCGCAAGTTACGCATGTGGAGTCCAAATTAAATTCTGTACAGAAAGAATTAACTATATTAAAGATCGATTTTGAAAGAACAGAACATAATTTAAAAGAAGCGAAAAACGAAACAAATAAGTATCAAAATGAAATGCAAACATTACAAGAACAATTGGCAAGCGTACAAACGGAATTAGCTAAAGCTCATGCTCAAATCAGGGAATTTAATAAAACTACGAATGAATTGAAAGCCTTACAAATCGAGGTAAATAGATTGCAAAGCAACGAAAAAAAGATAGGAGATGAACAATTTCGAATTATGAAATTGCAAGAAGAGAACGATAAATTGCGCGCTGAGGTATTATTTATTCATCTTTATTTTTTAAATGTTTTAATAATTGTATATTGCATGAAAAATTATTAAAAAATATATTAATGTTAGAATATGAGATAAAGTCTAAATATAAAATATAGAGTATTAAAGATTTTTAAAAAAATTTTATATGTCTTATATTTATACAGCTTGCGAATATCATAGAGAAACAAAAAGAGCAACAGCATGAGGAGAACAAAATTCTCACAGACAAATTACCTACTATTGAACATCAACATGCCAATTTGTATGTATATATATACAACTATATAAATTTTTTATTTAACGTAATATTTCAATTTAACACAATTGATAATCTTCCACATTATATATTACTATATTTTATTTATTTAATTTTTGTGAAATATTTATTTTCGAAAAATTTAGAGAAGAAAAAGCTTTATTAGAAACATTGACAACCAAGTTAATGCACAAGGAAGAAGAACTTAGTAAGATAAATGAACGATTACATCTATTAGAAAGTGATGCAGATAAAAAACAACATTTTATTACGCAACTAGAAGAAGCTTTGGAAGTCCAAAAATCTAAAAATAATGTGAGTTTTTTTATACGTACACACGCGCGCGCGCGCGCACACACACACACACATACACACACAATATATTTAAATTACTTATATTTTAATATAATATATTTAAATTACTATTTTTTTCATGTAATATTACTACATTTTTTGCGTCCATTATTATACTAATTTCTTTTTTTATAAAAATTAACACGTTTTAATTCTTTATTATTATACATAAACAAATTATTATCTACTACAATAGCTTTCTCTATTTTTCTGTATTTCAATTTTGTTTTGTTACAGGAGCTGCGCACAAAAAACTGGAAAGTGATGGAAGCTCTTACTGCTGCTGAGTCACGTGCCAAATCTAGTGATGAGAAGAACGTTGAAGTAAGTTTATTGTTTTCAATTAATATTAATTAAATAATATATTTAAAAGTACAATAATAGCATATATCATGATATAGATTTAATAACGTTATCATTTCTTTTGAATCATTTACAATTATTAAAAATTAATATATTTATTTATTGATGTTAGAAAATTAATATTTCTTATATGATGTATGCATATAATATTGCATGTTTTTTTTAAGCAGGCAATACAAAAGATTAAAGAGGAACAAGAAGAAATAACAAAGGCACTTTTACAAAGGATATTCCCAGAGATTAAAGTGTGCGAGAAAACACATGAACAATGGTTGAAATCCTTTGAAGATAAAGTATGTACTATTTTAAATGAATTAAAACACAAAAACTCAGATCAAACAAATCCAGATTTGGAAAGACAGAACAAAAATCTGCAAGGCATGGTTTCACATTACAAACAAATTATTTATGATACGGTGAGTATTTTATTTAACTTTATAATATTTTATTACAAAAACATAACTTTTTTTATTCGAAACTATTTTTTAGGAAGGTATGCTTAATAAACTACAAAGTCATATAGAATCCGAAGAAACGAGGTGGCAATCGCAACTTCGGCAAAAGGAAAATGAAGTAGTGAACCTTAGAGTAGAACTTAATGATATGCAAGCTAAATTAATCTCAAATGAAGAGGTATGAATTATAGAAATCTTTATTCTGAAAATAGAGAAAAATTTCTTAACTGAGATATTGGATATATTCTTTTGTTTTATATTACAATCTTTTTTAGTTTAAACAAAAAGTGAAAGAATTAGAAGATCATGTAGAACAAAATTGTACTGGAACATTATTTAAAACACAAAGACCCACATCTTGTGGAGAACTAGATGACAATGAACTTGTTTCTTTAGAACAATTACAAGAGGTAATAAATTTATAGATTGATATTATTTCTTCTAGTAATTT